TTAATGCCAGAAAGTTTCATGGAGGAAGTTATCAGAGCCAGAACAGGTATTCGCAGAGCCATTGGTTCTAGAAAGCCCTAGAACAGTACGCTCTGTTGGATCCGAGGCAGAACATTTTAGCTCTAAAGCATATGTTGAGAGACATGAATATCTGTGACACCACAGAGGTTTTCGTTTTTATTCCTCTCTTGTAGGGAAATTTGACACTTCTGAAATGGAGTGGGATTCGGCAGGGAGTTTTATAAACTTCAGGAGCTTTGATGGTCTGCATTGAAGAGAAGGAAGTCAGAATCTCCCGAAGAGGATCTTCTACCACCATCTACTCATCCTTAAGTTGATTTGGGACTGAGAGAGTTTCTTTCACATCTCTGATCAAAAAAGTTTTAATGTTGAGACTTCCTTCTTCTCTACTAAGATAAATCATACTCGAAATTTAAAATATCTCTTAAACCAAATACTCTAAGACTCATCTCCTATACTCACAGCGCCTCTATCATCTACCAAATTTCTTTCTTTTAATGATTTTATTTGTCGTTATACCTGTTGCTTTCATTAGATTTAAATTTCTGAAGACAGAAATAGAGTCATCATTACCATTATCATCACCATCATCATCAAATAGGAGGAGAAGGAGAACAACTAAACTACATGATTTGGTAAGCATTATTATAACCCAGACAATGTGCTTAGTATTTTTTAAAAATCACATTTAATTATCAGCACAAAAGTATGAATTAGATCCAAGTATGTATCCTTTTTTATTTGTCATCTCCTGTGGGCTCTGGCATGGTGATGATCACTCTATACTCTTGTATTGAACTTTTATAAAAGAAAATGGAAGAAAAGAGGTCGAGAACAGGCTAAGGATCATAGATTGGGGCCCAGTGTTTTCTAATCGACACTGCACCTGAATTTGAACTTCAGTTTTTTTAACCTATTTGAGAAATTACTTAATTATCTGAGTCTCTATTTTCTATATGAAAGATTATTGATCATAACATCTATCAAACAGAATGACTGAGAGAATGAGGTATGTAGTAAGCATTTAGTTTTCTTTATAATTAATAGGTACTTTTTTTTTCCAAGACAGAGGCTCACTCTGTAACCCAGGCCGGAGTGCAGTGGCTCAATCTCAGCTGACTGCAACCACTGCCTCTCAGGTTTAAGAGATGATTCTGCCTCAGCCTCCACGAGCAGCTGGGACTACAAGCACATGCCAATATGCCCACTAATTTATGTTACACACATTGTTCAATAGTAAATACCATAAAGAAAAATAAATAAAGATAGAAGGTGTCCAGATCAGAACCTGGTAATAACCTCCCTGACCATAATCTCAGACTCTATTGGTTATGAAGCTCAATTTATTGCCTCTACTTGAAAAACAACAACAACAATGACAAAAAAATCTTAAATTAGTTTTTAAGTCTGATGATTCCAAACTATTCTTAAGTTCTCCTTCCCATTTTCCCAAATCCATAACTTGCACATCATATTCAACTTACTTGGAAGGATAGCATGACGCTAATTAGCTAACACTCAGGGAGTTTATTAGATATCCACACCTTGAAGGTCTTGCCATCTCAGGACAATTCAGAGCAGCAACTCATACTTCTCTATGTGGCCAAGATGAAGAATCTCATGATTACTTTGAATAGTCATGAGGAATATTTATTTTAAAATGCCGTATGATATCTTCTTTACTAAACCTCTGAGAATAAAATTTTAAGCAGACTTATTTTGATGATTTAGATAATTACAATTCTATTTCCTTAATACTTTAAAGTCTGAGATACTTTTGATGAGTTTTAATAGCTCCAAGTCCTAGATACATATTAATCTTGCCAAGCAAGTGTTAGATGATATTGTTACCATCAATAAAACACCATCACATATTTTTTGTTTTCCAGCTTTCTGAAGTTCTATGAGGAATTGTTATCTTTTCTATGAATTATTTTCCAAAAGAGTTTGAGAACATTTTCACATTATGTTATAGTAATAAAAGAATAAGCCCCATTAGCATAATATCTGTGTATAACTAAAAGACATTCTACTTCTAGACACTAGTTCATCTGCTTTAAGTAAGTAGATTTTTAACATTGCCAAGGAAAATATGTGAGTTTACTATGGTTTGGGTATGATTTGTTTGCCTCTATCAAAACTCATGTTGAGGTGTGATCCCCATGCTGTGACGTTGAGAGGGGAGACCTATTAGGAGGTAATTGGTTAGGGGTACAGATGCCTCTGAAGGACTTGCTTCTCTTCTAGCAGGAATTAGTCAGTTCTCTCTCCTGTGAAGCTGGATTGTTCTTGAGAGAATGGATTCGTTTCCACCAGAGTGAGTTTGTCATAAAGCCAGGACGCCACTTATGTTTTCCCATCTTTAAATGAGCCCACTTCCTTTTTTTCCTTCTCCACCATCTCCACTTGTAATACAGTCAGAAAGCCCTCGCTGGGAGTCAGGGTTAGGTCTTTGAACTTCTTAGCCTGAAGAACCATGAGCTACTTGAAGCTCCTTTTTTTAAAAATTACCCAGTCTCTGGTATATTTATAGCAACACAAAGTGGACCAAGACAGTGTTTTACAAAAATACCCCAGTTCACATATACTACTTTTAGTATATTCTTTTTCACCTTGAAGTTATGTAGAAATTGATTAAAAATTTGTGAACACTTTCATATCCATACTTATATAATAAACAGATAAATAAATGCACTCATAACTTTATTAATGTAACTTCTACAGGATAAAACTATATATTTTTAATAACTATAATTTTCTTTAGTATAGTGGTGTCTCATTAAGCCAATGTAAGTATGGAATGAAATAGCACCTTTAAATTGCTTAAAACTGGTGCATATTAAGTGCTAAATAAAGTTAGCAATTGCTGTTATGATTGATATCAATTAATTAATCCAGAAATATTTGTTGAGTGGAAGGCATTGTTACTGAAGCTAAAAACATGGTAGCCAATAAGCCAAGAAAGATGCTTTATCTGTAGAGTTTCAATTATCTTAAGAATAATATTAATAAATTAACAAGCACTAATAATATAGTGACAAATGTAAGAAATAAATAAGAGGTGATGTGTTAGGGGAAGATGGGCAAAGTGGTGGCTTATACTGGATTGTAAGAAAAAGCCTGGCTGAAATATAATATTTGGGTACGTGTGGGAATATTCAGACTCCCTCCTGGAGAAGATCTGGAGGGAGATCATTCCAGAAAAATAATGCAGCAAGAAAAAATTTCCAAGATAAGAATTCACTTTCATTTTCCCAGAATCAATAGGAATGTCACTGTGCTTTGAAGAATAATCAAGGAAAAGAATGATGAAAGATTCAGGAAAATGAGCAGAGGTCATACCAAGTAGGGAAGTGTAGTATAGGGTAGGTGCCATAAAATGTATTATGAAAAGATTTTGATGATTTCAAAAGGGTAATAATGCTTCCTAATGATAACATGAAAAGATGGCTCTGGCTGCTGTAGGGAGAAAATATAGGTTTGGAGTTGGGAAAAGAGTGAAAAGGAGGCAAATTGAAGACAATTATACTGCGTTAACCTTTAGGGAGGTGCTGAAGGAATCAGAGATTAAAGCTGTTTTCCAAGTTTTCAGTTGAACAAATTTAATATTGTGCATTACTTAATGATATAGGGGAGGCCAGAGAACAGACAGATTTGGAAGGATGTGGGTACAGAAGGAAAGCTTTCCTTTTGGCTCTGTCGATGCTCAGGTGGAATTATATGAACTCTAAGTAGAGATTTCAAGCAGGCATTTGAATTAATAAATCTGGAGATTAGCCAAGATATTGCAAATGGAGATGTAAATGTTGAGTCATCGTCACGGAGCTGGAAGGCAAGGGGCTGACAGAGCTGAGATTATAATGACAATGAATTTGATTCATTGTGATAATAAAAAAATTGTGGCTATCTTGAAGGCCAACATTTATATCATCTCTTGCAGTCCCTGTGCACAAAACTGTATTTTTTCGTAGATTCCAGGTTATTACTAAATGGATTTCACTAGCTGGTGATTCATTCCTGGCCAGCATCTAAGAAGATATTTTAACCAAATTCTCATTTCTCCAAGGCTTCAAAATGACTTTGGATATCTGAGCTTGCTTGTGGATACTTGAAATTGTTAAATGTCTTACATTTCAATGAATTTACTCCTCTTTCAAAGATTTTTTCAACACTCATTCAAAGTCTACATTAACAACAACAACAACAAAACCTAAATCCTCAAAAAATTGTTTTTATTAAAATAGGCCTTCATATACCGTTTGCACTTAAATTGCTGGGTGTGTCACATTATCAACATGAATATTTATTCATTCAACACACATACACTTGCCTCTCTCCTGCCAAATACATACCAGTAAAGATGGCTTTGCCTTAAGACCAGGAAAATCCTCTCCTTTACATTGCAGTCTTTTCCACAGACTCTATATGATCTGTTGCATCTGGTTTTAGGGGGCTATTAATTAATATAATAACCTTGAGCCTGTTTGCAGAGATTGTCATTCAGTATCCAACGTATTCCTAATAATAGTGGTGTTCCAGAATCACACTTTGAGAAACACTATATTATTCTCACAGGGAGACCATCACACTGAATTTTTTCTTATATTTCCAAATATTAGACATTTTCACCTATTAGAAGGTTTTTGGACCTTTTCAAATATAGGAACCTATGCAACACTGTCCAGATCTTGCTTTAAGACAGGGCTTATTCCTCAGCTGCTGGGAATGCTGCCAACAGACAGACCTCAGTTGTCAAGCATCTTGGAGAATTGCCTCAGATAAAGACAGTTGTCTTGCCAAGATCACATCCTCTCCCCTGGAGGCAGCCTGCCTCAGATAACTTTTTCATGGAGGAACATAAAAAGCACTTCATCTTAATGTGGGACAATGTTGAAGACAGCACTCACCAAAAAAAAAAAAAAAAGAAGAAGAAGAAAAAGAAGAAGAAAAAAGAAAAGAAAAAGGCTTACACACCAATCTCCATCTCAATATTTATTTCTGGGAACCTAAATTAAGCAGAAGCTATCTGAAAAACAGCCATTCTTCATATTTGTTGAAGATAGTTGATTGACTAAAATATCTAAAAGAAGAGAAAGAGTGTGAGCTCTAACTATGTCCTGCAAAAAGTAGCATGTTTAAGATGCAGGAGTTAAATTCTACTGCCAATCTACAGCAAGATGAATTCTAGAAGTGAGAGAGAACTCTCAGAGCTCAAGAATTTGTTATGCCGCAGAACTTGATCAGAGCATGAACCTATACAGTAGATACTGAGGGGGTCTGGAACTTCCTGATGTCAAGCTGGAGATGTAAGTTTAGTTTGTGGTGGTTTTCTTCCTCCCACTTCATGCATAGGTGGACTGGATAGATTTAAGAGTATAGGAGCAGACAAAGGTGGCAGCTATAAAATTTGCCAAGGTTTGTGATTTATAGCAATGTCAGAATAGAGGTAGGTGGTGATTACTTACATCAATATCAGGGAGATAATTGCAATATATAACAGAATATATGTATACCTCTACCCCTCTATTCTGATGCTTGACATCCCTTTATTTGAAATTTACTTTAAGACACGAAGAAGATATATAAGTGTAAACTCATTAGAAATTAATTGTAAAACAGAGTGAACACATTACATTGTTAGGCAAAGTAGGGGATACTGCAATATAAGCTATTGCCTGATCATGGTGAAGATTGTTCCAAATCTTAGATGTATCCAAATGTTTATGCTTCAAAAAGATTCTATGCACATGTGGCTTACCTCTTCCACACCTTCTCCAGCCATCATGGAGAATGGATGCAATTTCCTTCATTCAGCTTCTTGGTTTGCTGTCTAATAAAAAAAATGTAGCAAAGAGAGCTAAATAACTGCAATAGATGGTAGGAAGTAATAGACATTGAAAAGAAGCAGCAGAGAACTCAGTGAGGAATGATTCTTTTACCTGGGAAAAATCAATGCAAGCATTATGAAGGAGTAGCTTTTGACCCAGTCTTTGATGGATAGGCAATAATTATACATGCAAAACTATACCAAGATTTGTATCTGCTTTCTAGAGAAGATGCAACAAGCTATAATTTTACATACTCTTTGTGTTTGACCAATATTTCAGGTATATTATTTGATGCTACAAATGCTTCCAAAAACTAATTTCATAAGATTCCTGTCTTCCTGGTGCTTATATCATGGTGTAATGTAATACCAAACAAATTACTAAGGAATATTCAATAATTTGAAAACAATGTGGATATAAATTATGTCATCTATTTCTGAAGATTGATATCATTAAAATGGATTATTTTTGCGTTGGTCATCACTCAATGTTTGGCATACATATAATTAGATTTCTTAAGAATAATGAGATAGATTTGTGTTCAGTACTCTCTGTTCTACTCTGTGAAAGAGAAGCTGGAAAAGAGAATTAGGCAGAGGTAGAAGATGGGCTGCACTGCAAGCTCAATGAAGGATTTCGCCATCAGCACAGGAAAGTCTGGGCTTTGGATGTCACTTCTGAGTTGTCCCATTCATGTAGAAGCTTAGGGGCTAGGCTTTGGAAGCCTACATTTGTCCATCTTTGAATTTGTATCGCTACCTAGCATTGGGCAAGGAAACTGATTTTTGCTTTGGGAAATTCTGGAAAGCGACCCAACCTTGAGCTGTCTCTGCAGACAACACTTGCAGCAGCTGGAGGAATGAATGCCCTAGTTTTGAAGGTGACAATAGGGTAACACTCCACAGCTTTCACAGATTTTTCCAATGCTATTGCCTTTCCTGTCGCCAAAAGTCTCACTTCTAATTATGCCCAAGATGTTTCCTTAAAGTATAACTCTAGAAGAAGAGTTCTCTTCTTCATCATTTCCTGATTGGGGAAATTTATGGCCATTATGGAATGAATTGTGCTCCCTCAAAATTCGTATATCAAAACTCTAATTCCCAATGTGACTGTATATTTGGAAGTTGAAGCCAGAGGTCAGGTTAGTTAAGACCCTAAGCTAATATGTCTGGTATCCTTATAGGAAGATGAAAAGGTATCAGGGAAGCACAGAGAAAAGACTATGTGGGAACATTGCAAGAAGCTGGCCATACCGTCTGCAAGCCAAGGGGGCAAGGCCTCAGGAAAAAACAAACCTGCCAACACTTTGATCTTGGACTTCCAGCCTTCAGAAATGTGAGAAAATAAATTTCTGTTGTTGAAGCTATTCAGTGTGTGACATTCTCTTATGGCAGCCCCAGCAAACTAAGTTAGCAAGATGTTGAATTAAATGTTTTTATGTAACAAAAAGGTGAGCATTCAATCATCAACACAATGTTTATAGTTCCATGTTTGGATTTCTAACATTATATCTGGAAAAACTAGGGTTACAAAACCTTCTTCAGGCACATTCTTTTTTTATATATATATATATATATATATATATATATATATATATATATACATACACACACACACACACACACACACACACACACATTTGAGATAGTGTCTTGCTATACTGCCCAGGCTGGAATGCATTGGCTATTCACAGGCATGATCATAGCCCACTGCAGATTCAAACTCCTGGGTTCAAGCCTCTTCCAAAATAGGTGGAACCATAAGTGCATGCCACAGTGCCTGACTGAAAGTCTTTATGTAATGATGATTTAAAAGGTTTGATTCTAAAATGAAATAAGATGTGGTTTATATAGCTACTATATCTAAATTAATGTTTCTACTTCTATACAACCAAAATATATACTTTTTCATTAATATGTATTATCAAAGTATATATGTGTTTATAATTCACAGACATATTCATATATAAATATGTATACGTAACATATTTATACATGCACACAGAGATGGCATTGTAATTTAGCTCAGGGCAAAATTAATGCTAATTTTTATTCAATACGCATTTTTCGAAATGTATTACGTTTACTGATAATACGAATTTGGAATTTGAATGAAGTATAAAACACCAGGCTCAGATACCTATGATCTAGCTGAAGAAAGAGAATCCTTACATTTCCAGCAGTGAGAATGCTGGAGTCCTCCTATCTGGTCTCTATGCAACTAGTCTTGGTTGCTCTGAGACTACCTTTTGCCTAGAAGCCAGATAATTTTTCCAAAATGCTAATCAGTGCACCTTAGTTTCTTGCTTAAACTTAGTCCTATTGCATTCAGCAGGATGGTCAACAGCGATATACAAAGACTGTCCTGAGCTATCTCATGCTTATGTCTCAAGCTCCATCTTGTACATCTTGATAGCTCAAGTTTCTATCCCTGCTGAAATACTTGTGATTCTTTTTTAATTATTATTATTTTGTTGCTGTTGTTAAGACAGAGTCTTGCTCTGTCTTCTAGGCTGGAATACAATGGCACGATCTCAGCTCACTGTAACATCTGTCTCCTGGATTTCAAACATTTTCCTGCCTCAGCCTCCCAAGTAGACGGGACTACAGGCGCATGCCACCACACCCAGCTAATTTTTGTATTTTAGTTGATGAAGTCTCACCATGTTGGCCAGGCTGGTCTCAAACTCCTGACCTCAAGTGATCCGCCCACCTCGGCCTCCCAAAGTGCTGCAATTATAGTCATGAGCCACAGCTCCTGGCCTACTTGTGATTCTTACACAAGCACATGTTGTTTTATTTATTTGTGCCTAGGTAGAGCTGCTCCCTGTCACTTCCCATTGGGTAAACTCTTATTCTGATCTGTCCTGCATAGGAATGGCCATGCAACCATTATACAAATGGTTCTGCTCTTAGATCCCCCTGTTATGACACTTTGTGGTCTCACTTATCCCTTCATCCCCCCACTGCCCTGCAAGGCTTCTGTTTGCTTGTCTTTTTCCTCCTGACTCTTCTGGCACCGTAGAAACCATGAGGAGACCTTAATATTCCTATCCTCAAGAGGTTTGGGGCACTTTGCATGCAGTAGGTTCAAAATGCAGGATATTTTATGTAAACTGAAGGAGGAATAGTAAAGTACATATGTATTTTACTGGGGTTGAAAAACAGTGTTTTGAGGGATAGTCCATTCCTATTATTTTCAAAACATAACTACTAAATTCAAAATAAATAATTTGTTTGTGCTTTAAAAAAGGATATCCACTTTCTTCAGACGTTCACATTGAACACTATACTATGATTCAGGAAATATTTAAGCAGTTTCATAGTCACTAGGGGTCACTCTTATAATTTTGAATCTTGCAAACCTGTGTAGGTTATTTTCCTTAGAAAGATTTAATTTCAACGCTCCCCTGGCCCTGACTCATACATAGAAATATTCCAGTAAAGATACCTGATGGGAGTGTCTGCCACCTAAATTACCTAAAAGCTTTGTTTACTTTTTTGATTATTAACCATCATGAGAATGGTGTTGTTGCATGTGTTTAAGAGAAGCAGCAAGATAAAGTGAAAACCTGATAGTCAAAGAACTTATTAATGAAAATCTTCACAATATGTCATCAGTTATATTCTCACTAGAAAATTTCACCTTAGCATTTTTACATCAATGGTTACAGACTTTTCAGAAGGTTATGGAGAGCCTTGCTCTTGTATTGTGTGGATGAGCTTCCTGTGGATGCACTGCTGAATTGCCTGCAGAAATGCAGAAACAATTGGCTTTTCTAACCACCGGGTGTCATCTCAGCAGGATTCTTAATCACAAATATGCTGAAAGAAAACCAACAGACATTTGCAAATGACAGGGGAGCAGCAAAAAGAGAAACAAATCTCTTTTTAAATGTGCTATGATCATCTTTATTCTGGTACCCACTTCCAATCCTTCCAAGTAATTAGTACATGGCAATCAATCACGGCTCTTCAGGCAGGCACCAGTTCCGGTGTATGATGTTTGATTCACATGTCCCAGGAACAAGAATTAAGGAGTTAGGAAAGAGAGGACAGGCAGGAAGTGGGGTAGAATAGATAGAAGGCTCAGGACGAACAAATTTACCCCTTTACCTGGCATCTGCAGCCAGATGACCAGGTGCCTGGGATGCATTCTCAGTAGAAATAGGTTTGGATGAAGAAGGAAAAATTTGCCTTTAAGAAATAAGTTTGAGCATATAGGAAGATTGAGAAAAATGACCATAGACTTTAAAGACAGACTATCGGGTTAGAGCTCTATCTCAGCTACTCAAAAGCAGTATAGCCATGAGAAATCTGTAAGCTTAAATTTTTCCACTTTTATAATGGGAGCATGATAAGGACAAAATACACACACACATCTATACATATATATAGAAGTATATACATATGTGTATATGTATATGTGTATATATGTGTGTGCGTGTGTGTGTGTGTGTGTGTGTGTGTATCTCCAAGTCTAATTCCTGACCAGAAATGTTTATGATCAAAAAGACTTCCTTTCCTTTTCTGCTCTCTGAGGAAAGCATATCTCTCTAATAAAAAGTCAGCAAATATTGACCTTATGTACAAATGGGGGACAAGAATGGATATTTGAAAATTGGATCTATTCCAGAGTGTTTAGTTGCCATAATACTATGGAAAAACCTAATTTCCACACATTCAATCCCTTTGAAAGGCATCATAAACCATTTATTGATTTTTAAAAAGAGAAATAAGAAGAAAAATGTTCCAACTGAATATGAAGTCAGGCCACCCAATTTCAGTTACAGACTTGAGCAATGGGTCTGCCAGACCCTCTAGGTGGGCTCAGCTGTACCTAACATAAAAAACAAAAAGGAAAACTCACAAATTGGGAGCTCCTCAATTGAAAGATAGGGGAAAACCTAAAGATCTTAAGCCTGCAGAAGAGTTGATTATTGTGTGCCCTAATACTGGTCTCCGCTGGTTCTGAGTGCCTCATGCTAGGGTTAACTTTGTAT